CCCCCACCCCGCCCCACTTGGAGGGCCGGGATGGGGGGGGGGGGGGGTCCGGGGCTGGGGTAGGGATGGGGGCCCCGGGGGGGGGGGGGGTGTCGGTCTTTCTGTGTTCGTCTGTCTTCTATGGCAAGCCCTTTTAACATAAAATCGAGTAGTCTGACTATCTGTAGTTACATTCTAGATATCTAAAATTTATTCTAGATATCTAAAATTTATTCTAGATATCTAAAATTTTATTTTGACTAGCTTGCCATAGTCTCTCCTTCTTGTCCTCTCAAACCAGCCAGTCAAAGCAGATGGCCACTTGTCCTGAGCCTGGTTCTGCTGGAGGTTTCTTTCTTTTAAAAGGGAGTTTTTTCTTTCCACTGTTGCCACTGTGCTTGCTCAGGATGGGAGACTGCAACGAAGCCAAGATTCATCTTGTCTGCTGGATTCCTTAGATAGAGAACTTTACTAATTGGCTTTTATGTTTGTGAATGTTTCTGTAAAGTGCCCTGAGACAACTTTGTTGTGATTTGGCACTATATAAATAAACTGAATTGAATTGAATTGATGAAACTGAACCACACTGAACCAACATAGCATTCCTCAATAAAAGCTCCAAACAACTTCACTACAGTGCAAATGGCAAAGTAGATGTAAACGTGTCTTTGAGTGCACGCCTATGAGGCGCACATAGAGCACATAAAATGCATATGAATCGTCTAAGGGGAACTTCAATTCTCACAGAGAAGGAAACGGTGTTGGATCACTATATTAATGTTGAACAACTCATGGGATTACTCTTGAGGTCAACATGGTGCAGACAATAATATACAGTATATCCATAAATATTTGCATAAAGTTGGTTACTTTGCCACTACTGGAGAACATCAATTGAATTGGCAGGCAGCGTGTTTTGGGGATCACACTGACTAAATATTAATCAGGTATTTAACAGTCCTTCCTGAGCTGAGCCATACCAGCCATATAGGATGACCTCATCCATATGATGCTCAGATATAACAAATTTCCCTAAATTGCACCACTGAGGTGCAGCAAATTGTTTCATGAACGCAACTAATTAATAAACTAACTAAGTTCCACTAAACACTTGAATGCTTATAATATTAGTTATTAAGCACATGGGCAAAGTTGGAAATGCCTCAGAAGTGTGACCACAGCAGATAAAGCTCACCCTGGTATGTTTAATTCAACGTCAACCACAGTTGGACAAACACACAATCACTCCTCTTTGCACATGTTTTTACACCCCACTACTTTTTTTCAGGAGTGTCTCTGATTCACATTCCATTAAATTCCTAATTTTATTGCTTCTTAGACTTAATTTTTGACATTGCAGAAAGGAGAATCGTAAGTGCAGGACATATTTACATTTATTTGCAAAGAGAAGTGTGGAAGGAGGAGTCTGATATGTGCCCAGTTTCAAGTTCCTTGGAGAGTATGAAAGAAAAGTGCGTAGAAGCGTACACACACAGTTTGAAAAATCATAATATTTTTGTGCCCATGCAGTTTTCACATTTTGTCCCTATACTAACTTTCAGAATGAATGCGGCACACTCTCCATACATGGCTGAGAGTTGGGGGTTCAAGTCTACCAGCAGTCACATGCTGACTGGGCAAAACACCGAACCCCTCATTGCCTCCAATGTGTGTCCCATCGGTGTATGAATGTGATAAAGCTCTGATTATTCTTTGCAAATGTATAGTAGAGAGCAATGGGTAAATGAGGACACAGATTGTAGTGTAAAGTGCTTTGAGTATCTTGATTAGATAGAAAGGTGCTATATAAGTACAGTCCATTTACCATGTACATGAGGCCCCAGCTGAGTACATTTTTGTCCTAAAGAAACATTAGAAATGGAAGAGGTTGTACTTTTCAAGCCAGCTATGAGTTGATTTTATGTTTCAGGCTTGGGATTTCTGCTCTGTTACATTTAGATTTTAATCCCCTATGCAAGCAAACAAATAAATGAAAAAGAAACCAACAACATAACCGTACAGTGAAACATGCACTAAATTATTGTCTGAGCAATAACATTTCCTATGCATGAAATCTGGAAGGGACACAGAAAGGTTATAATAGAGTGAGAATATAAGGTCATTCTCTTACCAACAATCGCCTTCTGTTTTCAAAGTAGTCCAGAAAAGAATCTAGAGATCCCTTTGGAGGGGGAGTTGGCCTCTTGGTGGGCTTGGAGTAGTTTGGTTTCTCTGGGTACATTGATGTTTTTTTTCCATTTTTCTTACCCCCAATCTTTCCTCTCCTGTCATTTTTCTTGGAAAGTTTGTCACTCTTTTTCTTCTTCTTGTCATGCTTATCATTCTTGTTCTTGACCTTCTTGGTGGGACTAACATCAGAGAAGGTTTCCATCTTCTCTAGATCACTTGCTGTTGGTTTACTGGGCTCATACGTGTCCACATATTCTTTAGTTAAGATCTGCACACAGAAATACAGTGATTCAACTTTCATTCCAGATGAAAACAAGCCCTAGAGGGATAAGTATAACCTGAGCTAAGTTTAACTTTGAACAACAACAGCAGCAACAATAATTAGAACAAAGAGGCCGGCGGAACCGTGAGGCTACAAGGAGCAGAGGTCACAAAGGTGCAGGACTTCAAGTACTTGGAGTTGTGAAATGTTAAACAGGTGAAGAAGAGAGTCCAGGCAGGATGGAGTGAATGGAGACATTTTTTAGGAGTAATTTGTGACAAAAGGCTGGCAGCAAAGGTCAAAGGTAGAAGGTTTACAAGAGGGTAGTGAGACCAGTTATGTTATATGGTTCGAAGACAGTGGCACTGACAAAAAAACAGGAGAAAGAACTGGAAGTAGCAGAGCAGAAGATGTTGAGGTTCTACATAGGAGTGACAAGAATGGAAACGATTAGGAATGAGCTCATCAGAGGTACAGCACAAGTCAAAGAAGTGGGAGATAAAGTTAGATGCCAGACTGAGATAGTTTGGACATGTCCAGAGGAGAGACATTGGGTATATTGGTAGAAGAATGTTAGAAACGCAGCTGCCAGGAAAAATTCAAAGAGTAAGGTTAAAGCAAATATATATAGATGGCGTTAGAGAGGACATGGAGGTAGTTGGGAGTGAGGACAGAGGATGCAGAGGACAGATTGAAATGAAGTAGGATGACTCATGGTGGCAATGTCTGATGACAGAGAAGCAATAAAAAAATAATGTTTATACGCTTGTTTCCTACTACGTACGGGTAATTTGGAATTGTTTGTTAATAGATTTGTCCATTTTAATTTTGACTGTCCTAAACACAAGTGGAACCCCATTCAGGTCAGACTGAGAACACGTTACAGAGCTCAGTATTTAGGATCCATTCCATGGATAGGATACATCTATTCCACATTCATACAGATGTCTAAAGGCTACAATGCCCTGCGTCACACTTAAGATACTGTGTAGACTAATCAATGGAAAACATGCACTATATTGGAAAATATTGATTTCTGGTTTATCTTAAGGCTTTATAGGGGAATTTGCTGATATAAAGAATTTTATGAATTTTTAAAATTATTATTATTAACCTTTATTTAACCAGGCAAATCCCACTGAGATCACAGATCTCTTTTGCAAGGGAGGCAAATCTCCCACAACTAAAGGTAATAGATAATAATAATGAGTTTTGCTCATGCCTTTGTGTGTGTATACGTTTGTTTTCTGTTGTGTTAGCAAAATATCTTCAGAAACACTAGGGCATTTAATTATAACTCAAAGTATTTATTAGTTGTATGTCTACAGTTCATTACCTTTTTGAGTCAACCAAATGCAAAATGGATTGGACCCATCCAACCTAACACATCTTGCATTGGGCTTAATAAGATACCTTATCAAACACAAAAATGGCAATAATCCAAGACAGTTTTACAGATATTGATCTAAATTTTGAAATAGTAGATGAGTCATTTCTGTAATTTAAGCATGAGATCTCACAATATTTTGTGAGATTACCATACTCAAAGTCAATTTCAAGGTTTGGCTGAGATGGCTTTATGTCTATCATTTCCAAACATAAGATGATCTTAGTTGAAAGTTCTGGTGTGAAAACAGGCAATATGGATTTCGTCAAAAACCGCTAGGCCTTACATACCTCTTGGATTTGGTACAAGTACTTTTCACATCAGTTTTTTTAAATGCTTTATCTCAATTTTACAGAATCACCTTTTCTCCTCCGTTCTTTTTCTTGGCGGGTTTGATCTTGGAGGGTTTGTGTGTGACGGGCATCATCTTGCGGATATTTGGATCTCTGCTGTCCTTGCCGGTATGGTTGTCTCCAGCTGGTGTGGTTTTAGTGGGATACCTCTCTCTGTGGCTGTCGTACGGATTAGCTGTGGTTCTAGGGACTGGAAGCCACAGCACTGTGGTCTGGATGTGAGTCGGTTTCTGGGTGGTGGTGGGTCTCTTTGTAGTGGTTGTTCTCCTGGTTGTGGTGGGTTTGGTGGATGTAGTTGTTGTGGTTGTAGTGGGTTGGGTTGTAGTTGCTGTGGTTGTGGTTGTAGTTGGTAGTGTTGTTGTTGTAGTAGGGGCAAATGTTATGGTCGGTGTGGGCTTTCTTAAGACCGTCTTCACTGGTTTTCTCTTTGTAGGCTGGTCAGGAGCTGTTCAACACAAACAAATTCAAATATTTTGTAGGATTACTTTCACAGAAATTGCAACAAGCTTATCAACAAACTTTGTAATAAAGGCTGCAAAAAATGAAGTTTTGAATGGTATTTGCTAAAGACATAAAATCATCAGTTTGAAACAGAAAAATATATTTTCACTTGGTGGAAATCTTGAGATCAGTGGTCTTCAAATACAACTCCTCAGGGTCCATCATACACTTTCTGATTTTCTTTACCCACTTTTCTACGCAAGGTTGCAAAGGAGCTGGAGCTTATCTGCAGTGGTCATTGTATGATAAGTGAGGTACACCCAGGATTGTCGCAAGTCCATCACAGGGCCACATAGAGATGAGTGAGAAAATGATTGACACACTCACTTATACACAATGCCTTCAATTTTGTATTACACATTTCGCGGGTGGGCAGCATAGAGTTGTTGCAGACCCTCTCTGAGGCAGAAGGCGGAGAAGCATTGTGGACCACCTCTGAGGAAGGAGGCAAAACTGTGTCATGGACCCCCTCTTAAGCAGGCGGTGTCATAGACCACATTTGAGGCAGGAGGTGGAGAGATGTCATCTTCAGCGACCCTCTCAGAGACACAGAGGTATCCTTATGATTGACCCTCTCAAAAGCTGGTGGTTTGATGTGTCAGCCTCTATGAACTTCTTGGTGAAGGAGTGAGAGGCGTCGTCACTGGCCCCATTAGAGACACAGGAAGGTGGGGTGTCCACCAACCCCCACAGAGATTTTGGAAGTGTGGGACCCTGAAGATTCTGAAGTGGCCCCGGATCTGCTTCTGAGGATGAGTCACCTATAGGGCTGCAGCTGCTGAATCGAGGGAGTTGCTGCTGCTGGCTGCTCAGGGTACTGAGGATGATAGTTGAACACAGAGAACTCCTGGAACTCGGTGGAGGCTTGGAGAACTCGAGTAGCTACTTCTTCTGTGGCTGTGATTGATGCTGCTTCTTCTGCGGCTGAGGATGTGGTTGAAGCCAGCGACTGCACATTGCCGCAGCAGCGATATGACCCATACTATCTTTACCCACAGAGGGCAGCTGACATGGAGGTGATTAGAGGAGCTGTTGCTGCTGCTGCCGTCAGCTCGTGGTGATGCGACTCGGAAACCTCAGCAGGCAATGGGGTAGTAAGGTAATAACAAAGAACAGGAAACAAGTCTTGAGGTGAGGAACCTATAATGCAGAAGTGGTGAATGGTGGAACAGAGACTGAATAATTATAACCGGAGTAAATGGAAAGTGGAGACACCTGGGTGATTACTGATTGGGGACAAGTGAGGGTGGCAGACTAACTGGAAAAACACTAAGGAAGCTAATTGAGGGTAAAAGAGAAATGGTACAAGGAAGACTGGGAAACAGAACAAGACCCACACAAGAAAACAAAAATAAAGCTAAAAACAACGTACAAAAACACAGACTGTACAAGATCTAAATAGAGAAGGAAAAGAACGACCAGGTAAACACAATAATCCCAAGATCCAGAAAACAAACTAAGAAACCTGATCTCCAAACACTAATAAAGTACACGAATATAACTTTTCTAACTTTCCGTGTTTTGGGGTTCTTGTGTTTTTATCTGGACAAGTTCTCTGTGACTTTAATTTTCCAAAGTTCAGGTTCTGATTTGTGTGAGATTTTTCAAATGGTCAGTCTTTTGTTTCTCCCATGTGTTCCCTGTGCCGTCTCATTCATCCTCAGTCAGCTCCTTAGTGTTTTCCTTGGTCAGCCTGACACTCTCACTTGTACCCAGTCTGTAATCAGTTCAGGAGTGTCCGATAACTCACTAGTCCTATAAATTCAGTCTCCTGCCATCAACACCTTGCCCTCCCCCGTGTAGTTATTCTTACTACTGGTTTTTGTAGTTTGTTTAGTGTTTTTGCTGCCATGTCAGCATTTTGTTTTTTCCTTTAAAATAAACTGTTATCCGTCCAAACTTTTTTAGTGAGTCTGCATTCTGGGTTTCTATTTATTTATTTATTCATTCAACCTTTATTTAGACAGGTAAATCCCATTGAGCCTCGAGGACTCATTTACAAGAGAGACCTGATTTTAACAAAGAAAGATGACAACAATGGACAACAGCAACAACAATAAACAGTTATAAAAAGTCATACAGAATTTTTTTTTTTTACTGACTATGACGGATTGCAGATATTTCTCATAACATAAAAAAATAAAAAACAACTACATAAAAAAGTACCTGCAAGCTTGATATTAATTCTTCATAACTTTAACACAGAACCCCACTTCAAATTGGCAAAAACTATATTCTCAAGTTTCGTTCAGAAAATGGAAATGCACAGTGGTGTTGAAAGTTTATGAAGCCTTTATAATTTTCTATATTTCTGCATCAATATGACGTAAAACATCAGATTTTCACACAAGTCCTAAAAGTAGATAAATAGAACCCAGTTAAACAAATGAGACAAAAATATTATACTTGGTCATTTATTTATTGAGGAAAATGATCCAATATTAAATATTTGTGAGTGATAAAATTATGCGAACCTCTTTAAACCAAAAAGTTTTATTTTGGTCTTATCCGTCCACAAAACATTCTTCCAACAACCTTCTGTCTTGATCACATGATCTTTATCAAACTGCAGATGAGCATCAATGTTTTTTTTTGCAGAGCAGTGTCTTTCTCCTTCAACCCTGCCATGACATCATTGTTGTTCAGGGTTCTCCTGACGGTGGACTCATGAACATTAATGTGAGAGAGACCTTCAGTTGTTAGAAGTTACTCTGGGGTTCTTTGTGACCTCTCTGACTATTCCACACCTTGAAGTGATCTTTGTTGCTCCACCACTCCTGGGGAGGTAACATTGGTCTTGAATGTCCTCCATTTGTATATAATCTGTCTGACTGTGGATTGGTGGAGTCCAAACTCTTTACAGATGTTTTGTAACCTTGTCCAGCCTGATGAGCATCAACAACTCTTTTTCTGAGCTCCTCAGAAATCTCCTTTGTTCCTCCATGATCCACTTCCACAACATGTTGTGAAGAACAGACTTTGATAGATCCTGTTCTTTGAATCAAACAGGGTGCACCCTCACACCTGATCATCATCACATTGATTGAAAACACCTGACTCTTAATTTCACCTTCAAATTAACTGCTAATCCTGGAGGTTCACAAACTTTTGACACTCACAAATATGTAATATTGGATCATTTTCCTCAATAAATAAATGAACAAATATAATATTTTTGTCTCAACTGTTTAACTGGGTTCTCTTTATCTACTTTTAGGAATTGTGTGAAAATCTGATGATGTTTTACATCATATTGATGCAGCAATATAGAAAATTATAAAAGCTTCACAAATGTTCAAACACCACTGTATGTTGTTCGTTATGAACAGCCCATGCCTAGCATAGAATAATCCAGTTACATATAATAATAATCCAATAACAGTCCAATAATATTTTCAAAAGTAAATTTTCATATTTTTACTGTGTGACAACCAAAAAAAAAAAGGAAAAACAAACAATGTAGCAATTTTACAAAGCTATACTTAAATATTAAGGATATATTTGTTGGTACCATTAAATTGATAATTAATTAATCTTTACATTATCATTATTGATTCAAACTAAATGTTAGACCCTAATTAATATCACAGGTGTCTTCAAGCTTTTCATCAGCCCTTCATCCTATATAAATGGAATAAACATGTCACTAGATGGTTTAGAATGACCTGAATCTGAATGACAATGAATCTGGAATCTTTGGTATTGTTGTGTGCACCTCATGAAACATGGAGCAGAGAAAGCAAAGGTGAAAGTTGTACCAAAGGCTCAGAAAAATTATTTTACAAGGCCATTTCCAAGCATCTTTATGCTCCTCTGATCACAGCTGCTAATATTATTATTTTAAAAATGTAAGGTTTATGGAATTGTAGCCAACCTCCCAGGATGTGGACACAAAAGGTTGATCAGATGATAAAAAGAGCCAAGTAAACCATTCAAGCTGAACTCCAAGGTCAAGGTGTGTTTGTTACTTTCTAATCCCAGTATCTGTTGAATTTGAAATGACAATGGTCTCGGTGGAAGCAAACACCAGAGGGCTTAAATATTGGTAGAAAAACATAAAAAGACACACGGGAATCCACAAAAACAAATTTTCACGAGTCCCAAAGTTTCTGAGATAAGTTTCTGAAACTGATGAAACAGGAACTTTTTGGTTCTTCATCACTTGTATTGTTTGACTCTTGTGGATCTGCACCAACTAATTTACATCTGCATTTAAATAACCATAAACATAGCAAAACGTAAAAAAAATAAAATAAATAAAACATAACATCACAAAATTAAAAAAGTGTAGTCTATAAAAGAATTTCCCAAGACTGGCTGAAATTTAATAAATCAAAACTGTTTTATGTCAGCAACAATCTATTTAGTTTTTGATTAACAAACTATCTCCATCCATCCATCATCCATCCATCCATCATCCATCCATCCATCCATCCATCATCCATCCATCCATCATCCATCCATCCTCATCATCCATCCATCACCCATCCATCCTCATCCATCGATCCATCCATCTATCATCCATCCATCCATCATCCATCATCC